GATCGAGCCCCGCATCGGGCTCCCTGCTCGGCGGGAAGCCTGCTTCTCCCTCTCCCACTCCCCCTGCTTGTGTTCCTGCTCTCACTATCTCTCTCTATCAAATAAATAAATAAAAATCTAAAAGAAAAAAAAAAGAAACTAGAAAAAGAGCAAAATAAACCCAAAGCAAAAAAAGGAAATAACAAATAGCAGAAATCGATATTTATTTATTTTTTTAATTCTAAAAGGTTTTATTTAAATTGCAGTTAGTTAACATATAGTGTAATATTAGTTTCAGGTATACAATATAGTGATTCAACACTTCCATTTATCACCGGGTGCTCATCACAACAAGTGCCCTCCTTAATCCCAATCATCTATTTCACCCATCCCCCCACCCACCTCCCCTCTGGTGACGATCCGTTTGTTCTCTATAGCTAAGAGTCTGTTTCTTGGTTTGCCTCTCTCTCTCTCTCTCTCTTTCTCCTTTTTTCCCTCTGCTCCTTTGTTTTGTTTCTTAAATTCCATAGGTGAGTGAAAACATATGGTATTTGTCTTTCTCTAACTGACTTATGCTTAACATTCTCTAGCTCCATCCATGTCATTGCAAATGGCAAGAGAAATCAATGATTTTTTAAAAAATACAATGAACAACTCTACACACATAAATTTGACAACTTAGATGAAATGGAGTAATTTGTTGAAAAACACAAACTAACACAACTCACCCAAAATGAAATAGGTCATTTGAATAGCACTGTAACTATTTTTTTTTTAAGACTTATGTATATATTTTAGAGAGAGAGAGACAGCACGAGTGGGAGAGGCAGAGGGAGAGGGAGAGAGAATCTCAGACTCCACGCTTAGCATGGAGCCCAATGCAGGGCTCCATCCCAGCACCCTGAGATCATGACCTGAGCTGAAACTAAGAGTTGGATGCTTAGCTGACTGTGCCACCAGGCGCTATACCTACTAAGGAAACTCATACCTATCAGGATGGCTAAAATAAAAGGTTAACACCAAATGCTGGTTAGGATGCAGAGAAACCAGATCATTCATACACTGTGGGTAGTACTGTAAAATGGTATAGCCACTCTGGAAAACAGTTTGGTAGTTTCATAAAGCACTAAACATTCAACTACCATACAACCCAGCAACTGCATTCCCAAGTGTTTATCCTAGATAAATGGAGACTTCTGTTCACACAAAAATCTGTCCATGAATGTTTATAGCAGCTTTATTTATAATAGCAAAAAGCTGAAAACAACCCAGATGTACTTCAGTGGATGAATGGTTAAACAAATTGGGTATGTCCATTCCATGGAATACTCAACAATAAAAAAAAGAACACATATTGATGGCTAAATTTGGCATGCTAGGTGAAATTACACTAAGTGAAAAAATTACTAATTTTGCTAGGTTAAAAAAAGAATTATGCAGGGCACCTGGGTGGCTCAGTCGGTTGGGCGTCTGCCTTCGGCTCAGGTCATGGTCCCAGGGTCCTGGGATCGAGCCCCGCATTGGGCTCCCTGCTCCACGGGGAGTCTGCTTCTCCCTTTCCCTCTGCCCCTGCCTCTGCTCTCTTTGTCTCTCTCTCAAATAAATAAAATCTTAAAAAAAAAAAAAAGAATTATGCAAGTTGAAAAAAAAGCCAAAAAAGTACATGCTGTGTGATTCCACTTATATAGACTATTCTTGAAACAACAAAATTACAGAAATGAAGAACAAATTGCTAGCTGCCAGGGATAAAAGACCCTGTGGGGTGAGGAGAATGAGACAGAGTTGCCTTATAAAAGGGCAACATGGATTGTTGTGGTGATGGAATGTTCTGTACAGTATCAATATCCTGGCTGAAGGGTGTCTGGGTGTCTCAGTCAGTTAAGCATCCGACTCTTGGTTTCAGCTCAGGTTATGATCTCAGGGTCGTGAGATCGAGCCCCACATTAGGCTCTGCACTGACCATGGAGCTTGCTTAAGATTCTCTCTCTTCCTCTGCCCCTAACCAGCACCCCCTTCCCTCTCAAAAAAAAAAATCCTGGTTGTGATATGTACTACAGTTTTGCAAGATGTTACCAGTGGAGGAAACTGGGTGTATTAATTAGGGCTTTCCAGAGAAACAGAACTAATAGGATTATAGATATAGATGTCAATGTTGATATAGATAGACATAAATATGTAAGAGGAGATTATACGAATTGGTTCACATGATTATAAAGTCCCATGAATGTGCATATTTATTTGTATAATCCTATACATCAGATATAGGAAACCATTTAGAAGACACCAAAATCACAGTAGTCATCTCTAAGTAGTAGAATTATGAGCATTCTTTTGCTTTCCTTTCTTTTTTTTTTTTTTGTAAACTTATGGGCATTTTTCTCATTTTTGTATAGTGAACACTTATTATATGTGCAATTTTCAAAGCACACCATATTTTTAGGACATTATTTAGACCAACCCTTAATCCATGGCTTGAAACCTGTAACCAATCTCCAAATTATTAGTCATTTCAGTCATAGAAATCAGTATTTTCCAAAGCAGTCCATGTAGCTCTAATTATTAGAAATGATGAAATGTTGAAAGCAAAGGTCTGTACTGTCTGTGCCTTCAGAGGGTTTAAGTCCATGGATTTGGTCCTAGCACAGGTCATTTAACTTGGGTCATTCATGGAGGAATACAGGAAAGGTACACCCCCCAATGGCTCACAAGGGCCACATGCTACTCAAACATTGTCCACAAGAGACACAAACACGTCAAAGCGAACAGGTGACACAAATCCATCTCTGCTGTGCACCCCTTCTCACACTGGACAATTCCTCATTTCCTCAAGTGGTCAGGGGGAACATAAACAGATTTTAAAATAGGTAGTTGTTATAATCAACAGCCAGAAATGAAAGTGTAAAAAAAAAAAATCCTTTCACAACCAAGACCCCAAATCCCCACTAAATATTTTAATGTCTACCTGATAAAAACTATAAAGAAAACTTCAAAACCTTCATGACACAGTAAAAGGAAATCAGACAAGATGGAGAGTTAACCTTGCTCATAACTGGAAAGACTAAACAAATGTTAAGGTAACACTTCCCGTTCACAGATTTAATGCAGTGCTAATTAGTGGAGCATTAAGAGTTTTGCAAATATAAAATGCAAAATTGTAAAATGCACCGCAAAAAAAGCATACAAAAATGCTTGTGTTCTGGGAGGAAAAAAGATAATGTTGCAGAACTTCCCTTTCCTGGATTTGAAAACATTGTG